CCCAGCTGTGCCCAGCCCTGCCTCCTTGGCTGAGATCATCAAATTTGACAATCTCTTAGCCAAACCCCCCACACCGGGTAAAGAAAAAATTGATTCTAGGGCCAAGGGACTTTCTCCTCCCGTGGTGTCAAGGCTATCTGTCTATCTAAATATGAGATAGGAGTGGTGATGTTGGACTAGCCAACGTCAGAACCGCAAGGTAGGTTACAAGAGGTAACACGGGGGCTTAACCCCACAACAAGTAAATAACTACCAACTCAAAAGTGAATGGGATTCAATCTCACTCTAGAACAGGTGTTCTCAACCCAGTCCTCTGGACCCCCTACCAGTCCAGGATTTGGGGATTACCTGGGTGTGTCTAAGGTGTTTAGAAAAAGGGGGAAAAAACACCTTAGACTCTAAGTTTTTTCTTTTCTTTTTCTAAACACCTTAGACACTACCCTGGACTGGTAGGGGTTCCTGAGGACTAACGTTGAGAACCCCTGCTCTAGAAGATTACCTCCTAAAGTAAACGTAACAAAGAAAATGGTAATAACCTTTACTGAACTAAAATTAAGCAAAGAAAATATGTATAATAGGTATAAAGCTTACCCTGGATAGAAACACCATAGAAAGTTGTGTTAGTGAAAATCACATAAAGGTGAGGAATTAAAAACCTGGGAATATGTTCTTTAATCTCATAGAAAATTATATTATATTGCCAAATGAGACATATAGCCTCCCAGAGAGTCTGTACAGCAGGGTCGGCTACATAGCTCTATACCCGTTTGTGCTTCTTTGTGAATTTATTTTCCACCAGTGAGCTATCTTGGTATACTCTATTGAGACACTATTTATAATGACCACAGTTAAACTCCAGTACCATATCGGCATTTCTACTATCGCTAGGTACCACGATCCCAGCTATATATATCACTTACGGATTTTACCGTTTTTGCGCGACTTTGTTTATTTAATTTTCACCTTTTGTACGGAGCAGTCTGTACTTATGTTCCGTTTCTCTTATATATTGGTCCACATATCGGATGTCCCTATAGTCTTACTTGGTCATCTTTAGAGGCCTTACTACTATTTATTTTAGCGGACTCTATACGTATGTGCACATACAATATATATATCATTTTCTATGAGATTAAGGAACATATCCCCAGGTTTTTAATTCTTCATCTTTATATGATTTTCACTAACACAACTTTCTATGGTGTTTCTATTCAGGGTAAGCTTTATACCTATTATATATATTTTCTTTGCTTAATTTTAGTTCAATAAAGGTTATTATCATTTTTTTTGTTACGTTTACTTTAGGAGGTAATCTTCTAGAGTGAGATTGAATCCCATTCACTTTTGAGTGAGTGGTTTTTTTCTCTCACTATTTCAGTTGGTAGTTATCTGTCTATCTATCCTGGTACTACTTCCTCCACCACTGGTACTTACCTATTGCTTGGTCTGTGATCTGTTTTCCCTCTGTCTTTATTACTAGACTATATTCCAATAGGAACCGCACTCAATCCACAAAAGCCAAGGTTGCTAAACTAGTCCATGGGCCAGCACAAGCCCCAAATAAATACCAGTAAGAGAGAAGATGTCTAGACCAGGCATAGGCAACCTTCGGCACTGCAGATGTTTTGGACTACACCTCCCATGATGCTTTGCCAGCATTATGTGTCTAAGAGCATTATGGGGGATGTAGTCCACTACATTTAGAGTACCGAAGGTTGCCTATCCCTGGTCTAAACACTCCTATAGCTTTAGACATGCTTACTGGAACATAAGGAACATTACAATGTTTCAGACCAAGACTGGGTTTTTGTGAACATTACTAGACTAGTCACCATTCCCAGATAACAGCTACCTGGTGGCTGATGATGGATTGCTTGTTTCTGTGACAAATAAAACTGGGAGTCGAGAATTCTGACATTTTTGCTGCCCCTTTATTATTGTTTCAATGAGATTGTGTGTCAGGGTGTGTTTGTGTGCATCTTAGATAGACTAGCTAGTAATCACAACACTTTTCTACAATCACTGGACAACCAAGTGAATGTTTTGTTTGACATGCAGCCCTTTGACTTTGTAGCCACAAGAACATATAAGGAACGCACCTTGAACCTCTTCAAGTTCAGATGCATTTTCATGTGCTTCAGAATGACACAAGTAACAGATATTTAGATATTGCACGGCATTAGGGTCAACAAATGGCCTTCATAGTGGTGATAATTTGATAAATACACCATGTATTTCAGGCCAATCCTCCTATTATATTTCATAACCTGAGCTTTTTATGTAAGGATATCACCTACAGTCAGGATTGGTAGGGAGTCTAGGAAAGGTAAACAAATAGACTGTATGACCTTAGGGGTTGCCAGGGTTAAGGTTTATACAAGCGTGAGAATGGTCAAAGATAAAAATGGATACAGAAAGACAAGAAGATGATGAGAAAAGCCAAAGTCAAAGTATTGGACAATCAAAATTCCAGAAACTAATAGAGTATAAACACATTTGTGGGCTACTAGACCACACAACAGGACACAGCTCTCATGACGGACATCAGAGTGACGCCAAAATTATTGACCTGCATCGATAGAATGAGGCCGTGTTGGCGTTATTATTGGGTATAAATTGACAGTTGATACAGCTGCTCACGTCACATCATTATATTACTTTTGTCTTGGGAAAATCAACTTCAGGGCGACATTTTTACTCAAAAATGATCACCTTGTGTCAATATTGATGCTGAAATGGTGCACAGTGTTGCAATGTATATGACATCAATACTGGGATTGAACAAGTACTCGTACACCAGATTACTTTCTCACCCCTATGGAAGGGCCAGGTGCACCATTCATGTGCAGTACATGATAACCAGAGTATATAAAAACTGATTGTGATACATGGATTGCAGACAAACTCTTGTTAATGAGTTATGAGACTCTCGGGGTTTGCAGTGTTATCAGAATTTCTTTGCAGAATATTAAGACAAAATATAATTTTTTTTCTAATCTTACTGGCCTCTTAAATTGTCTTGGATGAATGCATCAGATTAAAAGAACAATTCCAGATTAAATTATTTAGCCATGCTTCTAATTAATTTTCCATTACTTGGCAATATTTCCTGTATCTTCTTCACAGAGCATGTAATAATATTTTATCATCATAACATTACCGTTCTGGATGAAATCATTTAACTCTTTATTGCTGGAGAAGGAAGAAATGGTCCGTAATACATTTCTAAATACTCTGAAACCAGACAGCTTAGTTTATAATCGCAGTGTTGTGAAAATACAAGAGAAATGGGAAAAGAATATGTAAAAAATGTCAATGTCGGTGACTTTGAAATTCTTCAAGATACCAACCCTTTCAAGAATTTGTCTCTACACCCTTAGACCTCGAAATACTGTACATTCAGTTGGATCCTTAGAAATATAAAATCTTGATCTACGAGTCTATTACTTCCCACTAACAAGTATCTCCATGATTAATGACACAAATATATTGTGTGTCTTCCCTCTCCTTAGATTAGAAAAGGTTTTTGCAAGTTTTTGTACGAACATCCGTAACTTGTTTCGGAGTCCTGAGATAGCATCCTTTTTTATCTGTGGAGTGCTTGCAATTTTCGGTAGTTGTTGCCTGAGGTTGATCTAACTTTTTTCTGAGCACCAAAAATGTACGCGGTGAAGGCAGCCATGCAAGTGAAAAAGAAGTGGTGAGATAATAGCATATTTTAGTTGGATTTGGTTACTTTTTTGCTTTTGGCTGTATGAGGTATGTATAGATATATATCACCCCCCAATAGGCATTAAAGGGACCCTATAGGCACCCAGACCATTTCAGCTCATTGAAGTGGTCTGGATGCATTGTGTGTGTGGCGGGCATAGGGGGGACAGGAGAGGAGGAAGATAGCACTCCATGCTTTATATTCCTAGCGCTATAGTTTCCATTTAAACTAAAGCTCTCCATGCTTTATTACATACATCTCAAAGTACAGCCGTCAGGCATTGATAAACTTCAACACCCATGATTCAGTTGTAGGCCATACATGTGTGGGGAGATGCTTGCTCTAGTCTAGTGCATATAACTTATCAGACGCCACTTTTTTTACCCTTTATTTTTTAGAATGCAGCGGAACAGATAATGGGGGAAATGCTACCCATCAGCCAACAGCATTTCATATGCACTTATTGGCAGGGCTATCGCTCACTAATAATTCCATTTAGCGGGTATTAAATCCAAAAATACATGTTTAATTTAATTTTAATGGGATAACACTAATTGCAATTTACTAAAGCATGAATTGTGGTACATTCACCAAGAAATCATACAGGTTTTTTTTTCTTTACAGCTCTCTTATTTTCTACCTAAACTTGCAATTCCCTGGTGTTTTACTGGCATTACTTTGTTAAAATAATAGCTGTATAAGTCTCACCCCTGGATGCAGGGAGTGGAAGGGCGGGAGGGGGGGAGGGGGTTGGCTAGACTGCAGTACAAGAGGCTTTGTATTCATTCTTTACTAACAACCTGTAAAACACTTTTACAATCAATCACTGATTAGTGAATAAAGAGGGTTTGTACTAAAAAAAGAAAACAGAGGATAGCCCCTTATGTAACGTACAAACAGACGCAGGTCATGTGATCTCGAATCGTCACCTTTACTTTGTAACCAAAAGCAGCATGCAAAGATGCAGCTACACCACTTGGAAACACAAATATTTGCTTAAGGCTTGTAATTATTGGGCTCAATACAATGTTACTAATGTGTTATGTACTGACACATATATTTGCTAAACAACCATGACTGCGTCTTGTTAAATATGTGTTTGTCCTAGACTTTTCCAGGCAAATATGAGGCTTTCTGATCATTAACAGACTGGTAGATAAAACGTATGTTGGTTTTAGTATCCTGGCTGATGTGTGACTTTAGAACAGCATGTCACATTGCTAATTAAAGACATGGATGACATTAAATAAATAGGAAAAGTCATTTTTTTATTATTAGGTAATACGCAAGGCAATATGAGAACAAAAACATTGGCAAATATTATAAATGGTAAACAAATTCAATATGAATAATGTAGAGTTATGGGAAGATGAATGGTGAAATGATAACGTGGGTCAATCTCGGCTCCATATGTGAATGACGTTAAGCAATACGTTTTATAGAAAGGAACTCCGTAAATACAGAGTTGCCAATGTTTAACATCTTCACTACGGAGCAATTTGTATTTAAAAATATATTAGCAGAACATTCATTTGACACTTTGGGTGCATTGATAACACAGGGACATATGATAAAGCAGTGATTTTGTATCTAGATTGCTTTTTAGACAAAAAGCTTTGCACGATTTTTAATTTTTAATTATGTTTCTATCATTAATTTAAATATTTGTGAGACGACAAGCTTTAGATTGTATAATATTTCTTAACTTGCAATATTTCCCCATGCTCTTGTACATTAGTATAAAAGGAAAATATTTTTTTTTTCTCACATACAATAGTTACAAAAATAGGTAAATAAAAACGAACACATCTATTGCTTGCAGGGATGTGTAAGAACCCTTATGACATTACTATCAAAACAGCTTATTGAACACGAAAATTAATATAAAAATAAAATGTCTGTATATGAGCATAATGCACACATACAGTAAATGCAGTTAAATAATATATTTCTAAAATAAGTGTATTTAAAAAAATATAGCAATCTGTGTAATGTTTATATAATGCTAAAAGGCAAAACATCCATATAAAACGATATTATTCAATCTTTACCACTTCTTGACTGTAGGAATAGTATGATCTTTGAATTTTTCTTTACTTCTGGTGGAGAGGTGGGGAGACTTTAAATTTCAGGACTTTTGTAGACATCAAATGGGTGTAATGGAATTCTGGTAGAAATAGTTGTTCCTCTACAAGCTGTTAATCATTCATGGAGTCTAACTGAAAAGTAAGTGAGGCTTTATGGAATAAATTTTGTTTTGCAAAACAAATGAATGAAAAATGATTTTGGTAGTGAAGTACTCTATCTTATGAATTACATTTTACTGAGATTACATGGGTAAAACATAACATAATTCATAACATCGAAATACTACCAGGGGTGTTTTATCCCAGTGAAAAAAATATGAGACCCAAGCCCGTGCCTTCATTACCCAGGTTCAGGTAATGTCAAATAACTAGTTTAACAACTAGCATATATTCAAAGTGTACCTATTTAGGAGGGACAGTCCCTATGTGGGACCCAAATCCCTCTGTCCCTCTTTTCTATCTTTATTTCTTATGTTTTCTAATGTTTTCTAGGAGGTCCATATTGTTGTGTGTGTCTGAGTGTATAACAGAGCTCCACAGCAATAATACTCCCAGTAATGTGTCTGAGTGTATAACAGAGCTCCACAACAATAATACTCCCAGTAATGTGTCTGAGTGTATAACAGAGCTCCACAGCAATAATACTCCCAGTAATGTGTCTGAGTGTATAACAGAGCTCCACAGCAATAATACTCCCAGTAATGTGTCTGAGTGTATAACAGAGCTCCACAGCAATAATACTCCCAGTAATGTGTCTGAGTGTATAACAGAGCTCCACAGCAATAATACTCCCAGTAATGTGTCTGAGTGTATAACAGAGCTCCACAACAATAATACTCCCAGTAATGTGTCTGAGTGTATAACAGAGACCCACAGCTATAATACTCCCAGTAATGTGTCGGAGTGTATAACAGAACTCCACAGCAATAATACTCCCAGTAATGTGTCTGAGTGTATAACAGAGCTCCACAACAATAATACTCCCAGTAATGTGTCTGAGTGTATAACAGAGACCCACAGCTATAATACTCCCAGTAATGTGTCGGAGTGTATAACAGAACTCCACAGCAATAATACTCCCAGTAATGTGTCTGAGTGTATAACAGAGCTCCACAGCAATAATACTCCCAGTAATGTGTCTGAGTGTATAACAGAGCTCCACAGCAATAATACTCCCAGTAATGTGTCTGAGTGTATAACAGAGCTCCACAGCAATAATACTCCCAGTAATGTGTCTGAGTGTATAACAGAGCTCCACAGCAATAATACTCCCAGTAATGTGTCTGAGTGTATAACAGGGCTCCACAGCAATAATACTCCCAGTAATGTGTCTGAGTGTATAACAGAGCTCCACAGCAATAATACTCCCAGTAATGTGTCTGAGTGTATAACAGAGCTCCACAGCAATAATACTCCCAGTAATGTGTCTGAGTGTATAACAGAGCTCCACAGCAATAATACTCCCAGTAATGTGTCTGAGTGTATAACAGAGCTCCACAGCAATAATACTCCCAGTAATATGTCTGAGGTATAAAAGAGCTCCACAGCAATATACTCCCAGTAATGTGTCTGAGTGTATAACAGAGCTCCACAGCAATAATACTCCCAGTAATGTGTCTGAGTGTATAACAGAGCTCCACAGCAATAATACTCCCAGTAATGTGTCTGAGTGTATAACAGAGCTCCACAGCAATAATACTCCCAGTAATGTGTCTGTGTATAACAGGGCTCCACAGTAATAATACTCCCAGTAATGTGTCTGAGTGTATAACAGAGCTCCACAGCAATAATACTCCCAGTAATGTGTCTGAGTGTATAACAGAGCTCCACAGCAATAATACTCCCAGTAATGTGTCTGAGTGTATAACAGAGCTCCACAGCAATAATACTCCCAGTAATGTGTCTGAGTGTATAACAGAGATCCATAGCAATAATACTCCCAGTAATGTGTCTGAGTGTATAACAGAGCTCCACAGCAATAATACTCCCAGTAATGTGTCTGAGTGTATAACAGAGATCCATAGCAATAATACTCCCAGTAATGTGTCTGAGTGTATAACAGAGCTCCACAGCAATAATACTTCCAGTAATGTGTCTGAGTGTATAACAGTGCTCCACAGCAAAAACACTCCCAGTAATGTGTCTGAGTGTATAACAGAGCTCCACAACAATAATACTCCCAGTAATGTGTCTGAGTGTATAACAGAGCTCCACAGCAATAATACTCCCAGTAATGTGTCTGAGTGTATAACAGAGCTCCACAGCAATAATACTCCCAATAATGTGTATAACAGAACTCCACAGCAATAATACTCCCAATAATGTGTCTGAGTGTATAACAGAGCTCCACAACAATAATACTCCCAGTAATGTGTCTGAGTGTATAACAGAGATCCACAGCAATAATACTCCCAGTAATGTGTCTTTAACCCCTTAAGGACACATGACCTGTGTGACATGTCATGATTCCCTTTTATTCCAGAAGTTTGGTCCTTAAGGGGTTAAACTATAATAATTCTGTTTGGAAATCAGTCTATGTAAATAAGATACATTGTTCTTGTTCTGAACTAAATTTTAGTTGCAAAAATTGTTATTAGTAAGTCAGCTAAATTTTTAGAACAGCCGATCCTAAATATACCTTTACGCACATCACGGCGCTGCAGGATTGTTTTGACACTTTATAAATAAACTATAATAATAATAATAATAATAATCAGGTTAGATTAAAAGATCACTATAGTGTCAGGAAAACAAACTTGTTTTCCTGACACTATATAACCCTTAGGTCCCCCCCACCCTCATGGTCCTAAAACTCCTTCAGCCACTTACCTTTATCCAGCGCTGGGCTCCCTCGGCACTGGTGACCTCTCCTCCCCCGCCGACGTTGGCGCCCAAGTGGAGCGGAATGCGCATGCGCGCCATTCAAACAGTCCGTAGGAAAGCATTTCTCAATGCTTTCCTATTTGACGTACTCCATGCTGAATGCGATTTTCGCATCTAGAGTCACAGAAGCACCTCTAGCGGCTGTCAGGAAGAGGCTGGATTAACCTTGCAATGTAAACATAGCAGTTTCTCTGAAACTGCTATGTTTACATGTTAAGGGTTAAAACCTGAGGGACAATATAGGAAAAGTAAATGGAAAAACCCCAGAATACGTATAAGTGAATATATAAATTAAACAACAACCTGATGTAGGATATGGTCCATATAATAGATTCTGTGTGAAAATCAGAATACTGACATAGCGTAATACAGTAAAAAAGGAAAAAATATATAAATATAGGTGAATATAGATACACTCACAAACGAACGTGAAAATAAGGCTTTCCACCCTCTCTGGGGTAATATGAAGTATGATGAACGAACTGGAGAATCACCTCATCAGATATATGTAAATAAAGGAAATCAGAGATAGTGAAGTTTGTTATAAAAATACAAAATCACATTTATTGGTCACACTTACATATGTGAAAATCATAAAAAGCGTATCTCCTTATAACCTGGAACTCCATCCAGTGTGATCAGCGGTCCAGAATAGGATCCAACAGGAGTAGTTATAGGAAAACAGCCCAAAAATACAAATAAAAAAATAATAAACAATAATTTAAAATAATATATAGTATAAGTCCATATATAGAGAGAATCCAACGCGTTTCGTCCTGTAGGGGTGTAGGACTTCTTCAGGGATATTTCTGTACTTCTATTTTCCAGTTTAAATACTGTAGCAGATCTGTACTTGATTGCGTCCATCTGTTTTTCAGCGTGCGTTCCATCCGTGGAACGCATAAAGGCGCGAAATACTCCATAGTTCAAGAAAACAGTTCCGTGTTATGCCGCGCATGCGTGTAATATACGCGCATGCGTGTAATGAAAGAAGACCGAAACCTAAGAGGAACATAAAGCAAAAGGCGAAAACATCGCCTGAGACACTGATAAAGCAAAAAAACAGTAGATATGAATTACATTGGAGGATGTAAGAACAAAGGGCAATAGTATAAAGAAATAAAAAATATATAAAAAATATATATATACATAAATGAAACAGAAAAAAGGAAAATATATAAAAAATATATATAATATATATATAGAAATCTACAAAATCCTACATGTGTAAAAATACATCCTGCAATGCAATACATCCAAACAAATTAATACATCCAAAAAACAAGACCAGATACAATGTCCATATTGTGCAATACACATATATTTTTTATATATTTTCCTTTTTTCTGTTTCATTTATGTATATATATATTTTTTATATATTTTTTATTTCTTTATACTATTGCCCTTTGTTCTTACATCCTCCAATGTAATTCATATCTACTGTTTTTTTGCTTTATCAGTGTCTCAGGCGATGTTTTCGCCTTTTGCTTTATGTTCCTCTTAGGTTTCGGTCTTCTTTCATTACACGCATGCGCGTATATTACACGCATGCGCGGCATAACACGGAACTGTTTTCTTGAACTATGGAGTATTTCGCGCCTTTATGCGTTCCACGGATGGAACGCACGCTGAAAAACAGATGGACGCAATCAAGTACAGATCTGCTACAGTATTTAAACTGGAAAATAGAAGTACAGAAATATCCCTGAAGAAGTCCTACACCCCTACAGGACGAAACGCGTTGGATTCTCTCTATATATGGACTTATACTATATATTATTTTAAATTATTGTTTATTATTTTTTTATTTGTATTTTTGGGCTGTTTTCCTATAACTACTCCTGTTGGATCCTATTCTGGACCGCTGATCACACTGGATGGAGTTCCAGGTTATAAGGAGATACGCTTTTTATGATTTTCACATATGTAAGTGTGACCAATAAATGTGATTTTGTATTTTTATAACAAACTTCACTATCTCTGATTTCCTTTATTTACATATATCTGATGAGGTGATTCTCCAGTTCGTTCATCATACTTCATATTACCCCAGAGAGGGCGGAAAGCCTTATTTTCACGTTCGTTTGTGAGTGTATCTATATTCACCTATATTTATATATTTTTTCCTTTTTTACTGTATTACGCTATGTCAGTATTCTGATTTTCACACAGAATCTATTATATGGACCATATCCTACATCAGGTTGTTGTTTAATTTATATATTCACTGATACGTATTCTGGGGTTTTTCCATTTACTTTTCCTATATTGTCTCTTGGGTGTCTGTGAGGTACACCTGGGAACTCTTCCAGTTATACGTTTGTATTTCACATTTGTAGTGCATATACTATTTTTTTGCTTAAAACCTGAGGGACCTGGCACCCAGACCACTTAATTGAGCTGAAGTGGTCTGGGTGACTATAGTGTCCCTTTAAACCAAGTTCCAATGACAATACCCATACATAGCTGTTTTACTCAATCAACCCCCGAGACTGCTACTTATATGGATGAAATAGATAACTGGTCAAAAGATTTACAACCCCTCAAATTCTCCAGTTTTTATTGAAACGTACTTGGTTTAATGTCTCAGTGTGATCTATACTTTTTGGGGTTGAACTGGTTTACCTGTCTATTTTTATTCATCACTTTTTTATTGCCATTAAGCTAGCAATATGCTACTTCACACAGTGCAATACTGTCTAAATAATGTTTAAGAGGGTGTAGTAACTCTGTTCCAACCCTGCTTTTATAAAGACAAAGTGTTTGACAAATGTTGGATCACATAGCAATTGTTAGCATCAACGTTCAATCCCTAATTTACTTCCTATGCTGTTGAACAGCTATAGGTTATTGACGCATTATGTGTCTGATGCACCTTGGGTCGGACAGTGTTTGAAAACTGACAGCTAGTCTCTATGGTCTGCCCTGCTTCACTCCCTGCACAGAACATGGAAAAAACCATAGAGACTAGCAGACAGTACACGGTCAATTGACACATGTGCACGGCGGGGTTAGCAGTGGGAGGGTTAATGCGCAAGCGCTGCTGGTGGGTGGCAAGGGCATCGGCAATGTTCTGTGCGATGCCCTCGTGGCCATATAGTGCAGATTGGAACACTTACTTAAGGAAATGAAATGGAGGGCGTCCAGCATACTGGATGGCTCATGCAGTGTTTTTTTTTTTTTACTGCTCCTTCCTCCCAAGTTGATTAATGCGCACAGGAATTAACATTAATGGACATTTTGGAACCTGAGGAGGAGGAGGCTGCAAAAGGGGAAGACTCTGAGGAGGAGCCAAAAATGTCCATAAGCCTGGGTGATAGAAGTACACTTCGAAGAAGAGGGTTTTTAAATCAAGAATGATTTATTCCCCTCCACCTCTCAGAGGAAGCAAGAAGACGAGGGCTGCAGGGAAAAGGAAGAAGAAATCCTGAAATCCTTTCAATCTTCTGGAACTGGGCAAGTACCGGTTATTGAAAATGGTGAGCAAGCCGGTACCTCGTTTGCCCTGCCGTCAGAAGGAGCTGATAATTCGGCTGGTGAGTCCTTTTGTGGGGTTTCTCAGCAGGCTAAGCTAGGAGAGCCAATGGGAGTGTTACTTCAAGCTTTACAGGGTAAGGCGGGTTCAGGAGGATTTTGAGAAATTGTCACAGTCACCTATGCCTAGAGATAATACAGTTAGTCGACCTGACAGGAATACCTGTTAATAAAGCTTGCTTAAAAGGATCTTTAACTTCCACTTCTAGCGGAAGAATGAGGAACGAAGTTGCCAGAGCACATGTGGGATCTAACTTCGCCCAGATAAATCGATTGCTGGGTTTATCATTATCATCAATCACTTGGAAAGCATTTTTATTTGCATGGTATGAGTGAAATCGGTTTATGGTGAATCTCAATAAGGGCGCTACTGATCCTAACATACAGGATGCTATACAATTTGTCATCAATAAAATTCAGTCTGGAGCTTCTAAGTTTTCATTAAATAGATCGTTATTGGGCATTTCAATTTTGTTCAAAGTTTTGGGTAAAAAAAATCTATCTTTAAAGAATTTGTTACACAGCAAATGCTGAAAGGGGTTTGGGTTACGGAATCGCCTGTTCAAGATAACAGGTACCCTACTTCATTTCAACTATCGGGTGATTTTGTTAAGAATTTGGGCTCCATTTGTAATGATTATTTTGAGATTCAATTATTCACCACGGTTTCTGTTTTAGCCTGCTTTGGAGCCTTTAGAATAAGCAAATTAATGTTGGCTAACATTCCGGTATTCAATTTGATGATGTAATCCTTTAGGTGAAACTTTGCAAATCTTATTAAGCAGATCAAAAACTGATCAATAAGGGAAAGGCAGATGGGTTCAGTTGGGAGCTACTCATCATGAGAATTTATGCCCAGTGAAGGTAGTCCAAGCCTTTATTAAATATTCGCCCTAAAGTACATGGTAGTTAATGTAGTTAGTTTAATACATAGTTCAGGAATTCCTCTTTCTAAGTTTCAATTTCAAAACGTTCTCCAGTTATCATGCAAATAGTTAGGAATTTAAGGAAAAAGGATTACATCTTATTCATTCTGTATTGGTGCTGCAATGGAGGCAGTATCACAAGGTTTGTCGAATGAGTTAACTAAACAGGTTGGGCGATGGTCATCAAATAGATACAAAAGTTATGTAAGGCCTTAGTGTTTTGTTAATATGATTACTTACTGTTTCTGTTTTCAGTTAAAAGACCAATTATAGTGTGGATGGTGGGGCATTCATTCATCCACTGAGCACATAGAAGAGCCGTGAAAGATCGTGCGGAGAGAATTTGAGTTTTGCTAATGAGACTGTTTCAGTATTTTGGGTTGGGGTAAGAGGTTGAGTAAGGGATGATGTTTTTATGTTTTACAGGAATGTCAAAATCAATTTCTATGGCCACATATTATTATTTTTCATTATGGAGGTAATGATATAGGTAGAGTCAAGTCAGTGGTGCTGTTTCACCAATTGAAAGAAGATATGTGGAATGTTAATAGGATGCTCTCAGACTCATTAATTATTTGGTCTGACTCGCCTGGTGTGGTTGCCCAGTGCGAATCTTAAAGCTTTAGAAAGAGTTGGGCGCAAGCTCAACAGAGCCATAGAAAAATGTATGCCATCAATCGGTGGTGGTGTCATTGTGAAGGTTTAATTTTTATGGATGGTATTCACTTGTCTGAAGTCTGTTGTGATAATTTTAACAATGATTTACAGTGTATGATGGATAAGGCCGTGGTCTGGTGGGGTTAAGGTCATCTGCCTATTGTAAAGGGGGGGGGGGGGTGAGGACTAGCTGAGATTCGTGTTTATTTGTTTAAGTTCTGGCTAATAGGGAGGAACTCTGGTAATTCATGTGTTCAATCTCTGGGGGTTTAAACACCGGAGATGTTTGGTTACAAGTTGTATATTTTAAAGTGATTAAGTTACGGTTTGTTATGATTTGTAATCTAAATAAAAGACCACGGCCTTTTCCACCACATATCGGAGTCTGTGTGTTATTATTATTTCACTCTGTATTTATTATGTATATTCATGAAATGTTGATATGTTTGTGTATGTTAGGATTAACCCCTGCAGTGCACATGTCGGTTTTGAAACACTGTGTGACCGAAGGTGTATGCATATTGCTGAAGGATCCTGTCATATAATAAAGGTAGGGATGAGTTTTTCGACCAATGATGGTTCAGGACCATCATCGGAAACATCCCCTTGAGGACCAATGACGGTTCTGAACTGTCATGACGGTCTGGGGGTACTTACCTGATCGCCTACGTTCCCCCAGCGGCGATCAGCGTTCCTCCTGGTCCAGGGAGACTGCCTCTCTGCCCAGACAGTCTCCCCGCGGCAGATCAGGACCCCGCGGCCACGTGATCACTTGATCACATGACCGCAATAGGTGCCTGTGTATCTGCCTGCACGGGGACTGTCTGTGCTGACTGGCAGTCTCCATGCATCTGCAAAATCAGAAATAAAGTTAAAAATAAAGCAATAAGTGTAAAAAAAATAATATATGTGTGTATGTATATATATAAGATATATATACATGTATTATACCTATATATAATATATGTGTATATATCATATATATAATGTCATACTAAGTGTATTTTTATATTTATATATACATATATTAATATAAAAATACACGTATAATTAAATTACACACATATATATATAATATATATAATAACTATAAATGTTGTGTATATATATATTATAAAATATAACTAATAAGTAAATAAAAAGAAATAAAAAAAATTTAAAAATAATTTTTATTAATTAATTTTTTTTATATATATACAGTTGCAAGAAAAAGTATGTGAACCCTTTGGAATGATATGGATTTCTGCACAAATTGGTCATAAAATGTGATCTGATCATCATCTAAGTCACAACAATAGACAACCACAGTCTGCTTAAACTAATAACACACAAAGAATGGAATGTTGCCATGTTTTTATTGAACACACCATGTAAACATTCACAGTGCAGGTGGAAAAAGTATGTGAACCCTTGGATTTAATAACTGGTTGAACCTCCTTTGGCAGCAATAACTTCAACCAAACGTTTCCTGTAGTTGCAGATCAGACGTGCACAACGGTCAGGAGTAATTCTTGACCATTCCTCTTTACAGAACTGTTTCAGTTCAGCAATATTCTTGGGATGTCTGGTGTGAATCGCTTTCTTGAGGTCATGCCACCGCATCTCAATCGGGTTGAGGTCAGGACTCTGACTGGGCCACTTCAGAAGGCGTATTTTCTTCTGTTTAAGCCATTCTGTTGATTTACTTCTATGCTTTTGGTCATTGTCCTGTTGCAACACCCATCTTCTGTTGAGCTTCAGCTAGTAGACAGATGGCCTTAAGTTCTCCTGCAAAATGTCTTGATAAACTTGGGAATTCATTTTTCCTTCGATGATAGCAATCCGTCCAGGCCCTGACGCAGCAAAGCAGCCCCAAACCATGATGCCCCCACCACCATACTTCACAGTTGGGATGAGGTTTTGATGTTGGTGTGCTGTGCCTTTTTTCACCACACATAGTGTTGTGTGTTTCTGCCAAACAACTCAACTTTGGTTTAATCTGTCCACAAAATGTTTACCTATGGGTTAATCCACTCTTTAGTGGCTGTCTCATTGACAGCCGCTAGAGGCGTTTCCGCCCTTCTCACTGTGATTTTCAGAGTGAGAAGACGCCAGCGTCCATAGGAAAGCATTGAGAATGGTTTCCTATGGACTGGCTGAATGCACGCGCGGCTCGTGCCGTGCATGCGCATTCAGCCGATGACGGCAAAAGGAGGAGGAGAGTTCCCCGTGCCAAAGGAGCCCGGCGCTGGAAAAAATATTTAACCCCTTCCTCTCCATCCAGCCCGGTGGGAGGGGGACCCTGAGGGTGGGGGCACTATAGTGGTCCTTTAATCTATACAGAATATACATAACAAAGTTGATACAGTCTTTTTATGTTGATCAGCAGGATACATATATCTGTATAAATGTTGGGTTATACTAAATTTGCATATATTATTAGGTGTTAGTTTATATTAGCCGATACTCCTTTATCCCTGCCTTAGACATATTTGCTACCATTCCTCAATTTAATTTTGCCCCTCCCCATCAACTCAGGCACATCACCTTCTCTTCCGCCATAACTTTCTCCCTCACCCCTATTCCAGGCATATCCCTCACCCTCCTCCCAGTCATATATCTTATCTCACCCCTATACCAGTTATATATCCTACCTCATCCCCATCCCAGTCATATATCCTGCTTGACCCGCATTGCAATCATATATCCCACCATACCCTCATTGCAGTCCTGCTTGATCCCCATCCAAGTCATATATCCTGCCTCACCCCCATCCCAATCATATATCCTGCCTCCCCCTTTTTCCAGTTATATATCCTGCCTCCCCCCCAACCCAGTCATATCCTACCTATATAAAATATAGCGTATTAGTAATAATAAATATCAATTTCTAATCTAAAAAATATTTTACATCAATGTTTTCAACAAAATCTATTAAAAAGAAAATACTAACGTATGTGAGAGCGGTTAAATTGATATAGCTCTCAAAAAGCATTTCAGTATTTAAAAAAAAGCTCTTCAGACAATCACATAGGGCACTAACAGTGTAAAGGCGCACATAGAGTGATTTTATAACAAGGTTTGCTTAGAGACAAATAAATACAAACAATGTTACACTGGAATAGACACTTGGATTTGAAGTGCAGATGCAACGTGGACAAGACTGCTTTGGCACAATTAGCTTTCCACACGCTTTCCTCTTTATTCATCAAAATGGAGCCATGTGTTCACTCATTTCTTCAAAATGGAAAATTAACTTCTTTATCTCTGTACCAGTCCCTCAATTATCCCTCGTGTTCTCCTTCCAGCAGAGGGTGTGACTCTAACTGCAGCTCTTGGTAAGCATGCAACTTTGTCCCAAAAAGGGGGCACCGTAATCTTCTTTACAGCATTTAGTTCTGATGACTAATGGATTCCTATCTGCACTCAGTTTATTAATTAAACTATATCACCCCAACTGCAGCCATATATCCTGCTTTACCCCATTCCAGCCAATGTTTCGACCTTCCTACATCACTCCCTACATCAAACTAATTTCCAAATCTACTTCCACCTTTCACTCGTTTTCTTCCACAACTCCATCCCAGAAGCATGCTCTCTCACCCCCACCTCTGCCACATTTCCTCATACCCATCTGAGACACATTTCTCCCCACTTTTGACACCTTGAACACATTTATCCCCCCACATATGCCACATGTGTCACCACAACCACATTACCTATCCCTCCCCTACTTCAGTTGCATCTTTTCTCTTAAATAACATTTCCTGCCCTAACTAAACCTTCTCCCTCACACCTCACATCAACCACATTTTATCCCTTCACCATCAGGTACATTTACTCACTCAGGCCTCCAGCCACGTTGTATTCTTATACCAGTTCTAACACAAACAGCATTGGTATTTTAAGTTTTGTTTTAAACCCACCTACCTTTTGGCATGGTAGAGGGTTTATCATTGTTGGCGCAGTAGGAAGCACATGGTTGGTGTCTCTTCTTACATGTTTTCAGAGTGTACTAGATTCTGAAGGAAGACATCAGATATAATGAATTGAAAGAGGCTGTTTGTACCGGCAACAAAGAAACATAGAGAATTATCCTACATAGCGGCACTGGGCTGGTTAGGGTATCCCAATATGTCCCACTGATTCATGCTCATTCCAATCACTGCTGTGAATAGTCAGTTGGCAGTGAGTGTAACATTAGTTGGGCTCATCAGACAGATTCCAAACTTAGGCCAAAGTAACATAGCTTGGAAAACACATTAATTGGACATTTTTGGGAATTTTTGTCAATTTGTCAGTTTCCATTTTACAGGGCTATTAACTAAAGTGAGAATTCAAAGTGAATGTAAGGTGAATTTCAAATGGAAGGTTTACATAACAAAATTGGAAAAATTATTTAAATTAGCTGTGCTTATAGTTCATCTACTTTGGCATTTAATTTGAAATTCCTCAATATTGGAGATAGCTCAATAAAATGTTTTATCTCATGTTGTTTTTCAATTTCAAGCTTTTTGTAAAAGGTTAAACTAACAATGTCAAACACCTGCCTTTCAAATAAACACAGAAAAAAAATGACACATATTGGAATTGAAAAAACACACACTTGAGGCAGGTTTCTGTAAGGAATGTG